AAATGTCGAAGCGCATTTATGTCCATCGCAGCGGTGCACCCCGTTGAGAGCATAATCGCACCAGCATCATGCCACCGATCACGGGCTGCCGACACGACATGGCTTCGGGGCGCTGATCGATCACACCATGTCCACACTTATATCATCCAGCGGCAATGCTGGCTGACGACAAGCTTTGTGCCCCTGGCGTGAAAAGAATCGAGGACGAAAGGGGGAAATCAATCGTCGCATCGAAAACAACACTAAATGCAAACGCCGGCACCCCAACTATCCATCCGCGTGCTGGACGCCAGGCCGTCACGACGACAGCGCCGTTCCACCATTCATGCCTCTGGGACGGCGCACCTGCCGTGCACGACTCTCTCCGTGCCTGATGAGCGTCCGCTGACGGTGCGAGCCGGCGAGACGGCGCCAGCGAGACGGCGCCAGGGGCGAGCTCACGCCGCGGGGAGGCAGACTCCACGCGCCTCGGGCACGCACGGGCGCCTCGGTCGGCCCCGGACGGCCGCGGCCGCTCGCCGCCCACCGCTTCGAAGGCTCTCCGGGGACGCGACTGCCACGGCCGTTGGCTGTCCGGTGGACGCCCAGTCAGCCAGCGATGAGCGCCGCACGGGGACTGCGGCGTTCGGAGGGGGGGGGGGGGGGGCATTCTGGTCTCGGAGTCCCTCCATGCCATGTAGACGCCGCCACGCCTTGCTCAGCCCCAGCTTGAACCCCATCTCCCGCGTCTGAACAAGACGCAGTAGAACAAGACGTCTGTGAGCGGGGCGATTTCTAACCTATTTGGGGGACTTCATCCGTCACTCCCACTTGACCTCCAGTCCCCCAACTTTGGGAAAAAATTGGGCCAAATCGGTGGAGAAAACCGTTTGTTCGCATATATCGGGGATAGGTTGGGTCATTTTTTATTGCTCAGCCCAACTAATTTGGTGAAACTATGTCGCTGCCTGTGAGGGTTTTCTTCTGTAAACAAGCATGGCTGGAGTCGCGAAGTCATGCCACGACAACTACGGGGTGATGAGAACATAGTCATACAGGGTGATGAGAACACAGTCATACGGGGCTGATGAGAACATAGTCATAAGGGGTGATGAGAACATAGTCATACGGGGTGATGAGAACACTTCTCGTTAGATCCAATCCCTTGGAGGCTGCCTGGATGTCGGCTGTAAGCATTTCCTGGAAGCTTAAAGCCAGTGCTCCAACACGGTTTCTTTGTTAGCATTTGACGAACTTAACCGGATATTTTCATCACGGCGAAGAGATTCGCCATTCAACAGTAAGCCATGGACAGACAAGAGAAACACGGGGGATTTCAGGCGGGTGCAAGGCAAAAAATTCACACAAAAGCGGTCCCCCCAAAAAACGCGAACAGGAATGCCTACGACAACATAAATCCTGCGGTCGCGGCGCACCAAACAGGAGTGAAAGTTAAATCTGTCGCTTCAGTTATTCTACCAGGAACCCTCCACAAACACTCCACGAGTCAATACCAGCTCGATCGACCATCGGTTCTGTGAAGCAGGAGGCCAGCCACTTAATCCGCTTACCTTTACACCACTGACCCATTACTGGGACGCCGTCAAGGGCCGAGTCTGACCTTTACACCACTGACCCATTACTGGGACGCCGTCAAGGGCCGAGTCTGACCTTTACACCACTGACCCATTACTGGGACGCCGTCAAGGGCCGAGTCTGACCTTTACACCACTGACCCATTACTGGGACGCCGTCAAGGGCCGAGTCTGAGCGGTGACCTGAACACAGCTAACGAACTGAAATCCGAGACCGACTGACGGGTACCACCTTCCTGAAAGTAGCTCACCTCGGGAACTCCGCAAAAACGTCATCATGCAAATGTCATGGCACCAAAATTATTCCTAGGGTGCGAAGCGCGTGGAAAATTGCGGTATATTCACCTGATAATGTCCTCGGCACATTTCCGTTTGCTAAAAGTTTCTTTAAAGAAGCTTAAGTTTCTTTATGCTTAAAGGGAGCGTGCTACATTTATATGAGGTTTTGAACTGAAATCGCTATCTTGAAGACCTTTCAGTGCTGTTTGCAATCCTGCCCCTTTTAAGACCTAAGCCCCTCTAGTTGCTGGGTCACACGCCAGCAAAAATGGGGAAGGGTATATCGTGGACAGTCTTCTCATTCTCCTTCGCATTCAAGACGCAAAAAAGTCATTCAACTCCTGGCATTCCATATGCCATGCGGCGATCAAGGCCAAGCAAAAATACAACTGTCGCGGCGTTCATATCTGCCGCTCGTGAGCGCGGCTTCCAGATATAACGGCCGTCAACTGGCTCTCAATCAATGTTCTGGAAGGTACGATGGCGTAATCAAGCCATGACGCGTTAAGGAGCATATTTACCAAGCAGAGAATTGTGCTGACTAGAGCAGTCCTTTCCCCAAAAAAGAATACCTATAGTTATAATTAAGCTTGTTTCATCATATCTGAAGCTTGCTTGAATATCTTCAAATGTAGAACATTCCCTTTGAATACTTCTGCACGGGTTTCGCGAAGACATGGGCTCTTTCGGAGTTCAGTAGACGGTGTTTCAGTGTTTTAATCTGCACATTGCGTTCAGGCCGAAGCTCGTTACACATAACTTATTGTGTGCACGCTGAGCACAACTCACGGCCAAAAATGTGACCCGGCCCGCTGGCGGAGAAACGTCGGGCCGCACGTGGCATACATTCTTCTTCCTTCTCCGGAAAAATTATGGCTCACGTGGGCTTTGAACCCCCCGAACCCGCTGCTCGTTGTGAGACAAGATCGGAGCACTGATCAATAAGCAACAGCAAACCTCTGTGACCGGCCCAACCTACAAGATGCGGAAGTATAAGCCTGACATGCCCGGCGCTTCGGACTTGTTTTAAGCCTGTATTGACCAAACGCCCGTTTCTTTGAATTAAATCAATCATACACGCGCTCGGGAGGGAGTCAAATTGATCCCCCGAAGGTTTTTCCAGAATGGTTTCCGAACGGCGCGGCAAACTGCGCGAAATTTTACATAGCTTTAGACAATGGAATAGCGGATCGTTTGGCACAACAAATTTAGATGTATCTTGTAACGTCGCCGACCTATGGCATGTCAAAGTCAGGCCATGGTTTCAGCTAAGGCAATTTCTAGGGAATCGTTCAATCTGATGCAACAACGGAGTTAGACTAAGCCATACATCTCTGAGATGCTTTCTTAAGCAACACACATACTGAATAAGCAAATTACGTTGAACTAAGATCAGGTATGAACGTCAGACCAAGGTCAAAACAACCCGTTTTATTACTCTAAGGCTTGCTGTATAGGATAGTTTCTGGTGCTCATTTCGAATCTAATGATAGCAGGATCCGCAATATACATCTTTCATGGACTTGTTAGAGGTCAGAATAGGTCACCGACATAAAACGACCCGGGTCAACGTTTTGTTTTTAGAAGCATACTGCCTGGCGTAATCTTTTTCGCATATTCAAATGCAAAACCCAGAGGAGTCTAGTATGATTCTGGTCACCATGACCTTCAAACGGTCAAACAAGGTCATTTACCTTAAACGAGCACGTGACCCTTTCCTTACAGACAGCTATCTAGGTTCTGGGTGCACTTTGGAAATCAACCTGGAATTTAACCTTGTTAGACCTTATTTGACCCGAAGGTCATGACCTAGGAGCGACTGAACGAGGAAGCGACTCGAAACCATCCCACCACGGGTGGGTGGACCGAGAGGCAGGCGCTCTGAGCCACCGGAAAGGACATGTTTTTCTTCATATGTTTTGTAGTTTTGAAAACAAGGAGTACTCTTTAGTTGCTATGACGCACGTTTCATTCATGTGCTTTACGTGCTGCAGTATCGATAGCGTTAGTTCCGGGTAAATTCACAGCTAACTTAACGAGCTAACATGTTTCGATATCAAGCGTTACAGTAGTTACCAGCACTCAGTCATGTAGCTAACAGCACTCGGTTACGACGCAAAAATAACCTACGTTCAATAAATGTTGGTTGAATGACACTACAAGTTCACGGAAGGTCGGTTGCTTTCAAAATACGAACTCAAAATTCCGAAAAGCTATTGTTGCAACTTACAATGACGTAGACATTACATCAGTGCGATCAGATATACGGTAAAATATGTGTGAAATCCCCGATATTTCGAAGGACTGGTCTATTCGGCGAGGAGCTGGACCTCCTTACATATTTCGTGGCACCGGCTGTCCGGCTAAGCGTAACAAAGTGAGCAGCAGCGGCAGATCAATAAAGCTGCCAGCAGCGCCGCTGCCGGCGCTCATCCCAAATGTTGTAAGCGCCGGCAAGAAATGTTGCACTTATACGATGGGCTCTGTTCACGGCCGACAGCACGAATAGCTCCCACCTGATGAACACTGCTAAAATATGGAAACAGGGGACAAATATAAAACTACGGCGAAAAAGAACAAACAACCCCAAGTGTTGATGCGTAAAACACGAATCCCGTACACCAGCCACGATACCAAACAAACGACCTTTCATCGAAAACGTTGTTAACCCGGTAGCTGGATAGCCAGGTGGCTTTTGGTTTTCTGGGTTTATCTTGCTTTTGGGGGCTTCTATAGATTTTCGGTAGCAATAAGCACCACATACCTGACATTTCTCCCTTTATCTGACGTCATTGGGGCTAACAAGCATCGATAAAACACACGGACGAATCGTGCGTGTTTGCAAACAAAAACCACGTCCTGCCCTCCAACACGCCTAAGATATGACTAAATTCACGGCGCGCCCGCCATTTGTATGCATGACTTTCATACCAGTCTTCATATTTTTGATCATTTGTCTCAGCAGGTAGCTAGCACAGCGTACCTGAACATTTTGCTTCCACGTCCTTTTGGTGCGTGGAGGGATTATTTGTTACTACCCTATTCTGTAACGACTGGCTGATGCATGCCTCAACAACCTGTTTTAAAAGCAGCGATCAATCAGTTTGCCACGCGCTTCCACGGCTGTGAACGCCAACTTGCTCTCACCTGGGCGCGGTTGAGTGTTGATTGGCTGCCCAGCTTGAGGTGAGACGTCACACGGGTGATGACGTCATCCGCCAACGAGCCGATCTCGGCAGTCAGCTGACTGTCGCCTCCGTAAAGCGTGTCGTTCGAGTCCACTGAAAAAGCCAACACCAGGTGCGTGACCTGCAGCGGCTTCGGCAGGCCCAGCACCAGCAGGCCTAAAATGACATCCAGAGAACACCTGGGACACACAAACTTGACACACGCACTAACATGCAAATCAAATAAGATCTTCACCAAGAGCGCCCAGTCTTTGACAGCCCATTAAATGCCCCTAGCACAATTTACACGTGTACCGACCCTATAGGCTTCAGACGGTCCCGGCTTGGCCGTCGTCTGTTGGTGTTCGGTAGCGATCTCGGACGGCCCAATCGTGCGTATACCATCTCAGAAGACGGCACCATGGCCGCCATCGGGGGTCGCCAGCGGCTGTAGCCTCTGGCGCGCGCCACTTTCTCATTATGAGTGGTAAGCAATGACATGAAAAATGACGAACATCTTAGTATGTCAATAATTATAGAACCATAATCACAATTACTCATGATTAATACACAATCACAATAAATCAGTGGTAATTCCCCAGCGGCTCGTGATTGTTATGAGGTCAATTATCACATTTGAAGCAGGTGGACCGCATATCCCATCAGTCCATTGTCTCATGACTGCCCTCGGACCTGGTACGGCAGCATTCGGAGAGCGGTCCTCTTCACCGTCTTTGTCTCCCCGTCTTTCACGCGTCTTTGCTGAGCCACCCTTAGCAGCGCGGCTTCATCGCAGCACAATACGGCTGAGGCAGCTCGCATAAGGGAGAGCATGCCGCTCTTCAGTCCGCGGAGTTGAATGGCTCCATACAAGTCCCGAACAAAGACCAGGGGATAAGCCAACGGGCTTCAAACCATCCAGGCGGGAGACGGGCAGCCAGATACCAGAATTCCCGGTACTGTTTCCCACCCCGCTTCCCAGAGAGGCTTCGCGTCAATCAAGAACAAACCACACAGCGGCGGCGCTCAGCTCCAGGGCTCCGAAGCAGCCGTGCCTCAAAACATCCACACCTGCATCCCCGGAGCCCCTGGGACCGCATACGGGATACGGTCAGGACCCAAGGCACCCAGTATCTGATCAGGAACCAAGGTATCCAAGCGTGATCAGGAACCAAGGTACCCAATATCCGATCAGGAACCAAGGTATCCAAGTAAATCAAGAACTGAGGCATCCAGAATATGATTAGGAACCAAAGATTTAAAAGACGATCAGTAACCAAGGTATCCAAGATAAGCTCAGCAACCAAAACATCCAAGATACGATCAGGAACCAAGGCATCCAAGATACTGTCAGGGACCTAGGCATTTAAGATATTATGAGGGGTCAAGGTATCTAAGATGCCATCAGGAACCAAGGTATCCAACATGCAATCAGAAGCCAAGGTATCCAAAAACGATCAGGAACCAACGCATCCAGGATACGTCCAGGAACCACTAGTATACCGAAACCACAACTACGGTCGCTGAGAGGGGCACACGGCTTCACGGCCCGTTCTCCGAACAACGTCTGGGCATTCCAAGAGGTCCGCACCCTTGGCGCCACCCTCAGCAGACAGTTTCGTAACTGAGAATGGTCATGTTACCTAATTGAGAACGGTCATGTTGCACACACCAAACGAGCAACTCTGGACCGTCTCCTGGGCAGAGGGCTAATGCTTGTCGGCGAGGCACGAGAAAGACAAGGCCACGCTGGTGACCAGAGAAGTGCAAACGTCACAACCAGGAGACCGCGAGACGCAATGGACCTCTCGTCTTGAGCCTCACAGCCTTCTCGTCTTGCTGCTCTTCCTGTTGTATGCCTTTGGGGCTTAACGGCGCACTTAGCTGCTGAGGCAAAATGGCGTTCTCGTCTTGTCGGTACTCTTCACAACTTCTCGTTGTGCGTGTGCCATTGTGGCTCTACGAGCCACTAAAATAACTGGGGCCATATGGCGTAGCCTGTCTCTCACTCAAGCAGTAAGGGCGGGCACCGCGGTGAATCAAACGTCCCATCTCTGGTTTCCCAGACGCGCAGCCTCACCAATACATCAGCATCCCTTTGGCCTTTGCTGTCCACATCTTGCAACCCTACCACCCAGAGCCCGAGGACTCTGGCGCGTGTAGAATTACAAGGCGACCAAGAGGACTTCCTTTTACCTCCAACAAGCTCATGAACCCAAGACGGTCATAGCTTTCAAAGACTCAGTTTGAGGTCTTTATCTTCAAACGGGAGCGATGTGCATGGACATTTGAAAGCCAGCAGGTCATTATCTTTCAGGGAGGCAGCGCTGGTATAGCAAGAGTGGCATCACCGTGCGCAATTTTTACGACCCAGGGACCACGCGATCGGCACTGGGATAAAAAAAAAACAGCTGAGGGTGTCACATACCGCACTCGCACCATTTGTAGTCGCCTCTCATTGACTCCAAAAAGCCATCCTATAGGATCGAACATTTTTTTTTGTTTTCAAAAAAATTATCTCGGGGTCCCTGGGGGACCCAAAAACGAGTGTTACTCAGGATTTAACGCCAGCGATTGTTATTCAATCCCCAGTGAAGGGAGGGCAAACCGTTCACTTGGGAGAGCATACAATCAAAGCCGTGTGAGCTGCATCAGGTAAGGTAAGGCCAACCTTCAACACTACAGGTACCAGCAAAACGTCGTGGCACAAAGTGTTCCCGATTTAGCTGCGCCGACCTGGCATGTTCCTACGACACATCAAGTGTGACGACATGCTTCTTCGTTTCGTGGGTCCACGTACGTTGACACCCGAAGAAATGTTTTTTTTTTTACGACAGCCCTGCCAGGCACCACCTCGCGCAAAATCTCCGGCAGTGACGTCACACGCGGATCTGCCCCACGGTCGCCTGCGCAGCGCCGCGCAAAAATCGCAGCGTTTTCAAAATCCGCCAATCGCTAACGAGTACCTAGAACTAGCCGGCGTTGGCTGAAACCTGACGTGGTGGACAACAATGGAGCACGGCGGCATGATTGGATGCGGACAACAGTGGCTTTCGTCCAATTAGACTGACAATGGCCAATCAACTGCGCCCACTGACGTGTAAGTCAGTCACAGCCGACGCCTGCGACTGATTGCCAAGCCACAACAGTCACATCTCCCAAGACTGGGGCTGGTGAATCACACTATCCGGCAAGAAACAGGATTGGCCGAGCAGTTAATGTGCGACTGTTGTCAGTGCTGACGCGCGTGCACACTGTGTACTTGCGAGCTTTCTCTAGCGCTACCATCTCACGCGAACTGCTCCTCGTTATCGCTTGCGGGCGCGTCATACGGAAGAGGAACTGTGCCAGTTTTCCCGGGATGTCCCCTGGTCTACCCAGGCCTGTGCCCGAGTTGGCACGACAGCATCCGCACGCCCGCAGGAGGACAGTAGGTGCAGCGACGTGGTGCTTGGTCATGAGCTTTGTGGGTGGGTGAACGCACCACAGCGAGGTCTCACCTTGTTGGTCATAACCAACCACATTTTCCCCGAATCGGACGCTCTGACCCAGGCGAATTCAAACTTCGTGCCCCCAAAGCTCGTTACGATCTTTGGAAGGCACAAGAGTGCTACTTCCGCACAAATGTGCTCAGTGAACAGCACGCCCACCAGGCCGGAGCGCCGTTCACAAAGGCTCGCGTTGCCCGGACAGCCAGCCACTTCGGCGACGGGCAGGCCCAGGGCTCGACAGGCTGACCTCCCCGAAATGCGCGCTTTTTAACGGATGTCGAGTCTGTCAACTAATCATGGCAAGTCTACCCAGATGGTGATACCGTCGCACCCCAACGGTTTGAGCGCCACCGACACGGGGAAGGCGGGAGGGTAGGTTTGAGCGCCACCGACACGGGGAAGGCGGGAGGGTAGGTTCCGTGAACGGGGTGCCATGGAATGGGCGACCTTGGCGACCGAGTTCGTTGCCGCAGGCGGAAGCAGTGTCAATATGAAAAACATCCAGGCGTAATATGCTCTGAAAAAGGCATCCGATCGTTGACAGAATACATTCAACGATGCCTACAGAACCCTCCGTGGGCGGTTACGGAAGTTGGTTACGGAAGTACGGGAGTTAGCACGACCAGCTATCCGCGCCTTGGTGCCAGTAGAGCACAGTGATAACGCACGGCATGGGAGATGTTTTATCGCGTTGTGTTCCAAAGTAACAAGAAAGACGTTTGGTGGTCGAATCTCCTGACCAAGCAATCAAACAATGGATTGAAACCACCCGATTGCAACCTAACAGGATTTACAACCGTCAGTAATGGCCAAAACTATTGAACTTGCTAGTTCATATATTGTTCATGGTAAGCGAGTTCATGGTCATGGTTCGCACAGATCAGCACGAGCAAAACACATATCTGCATGCGAACAGGTCAGCTTGAAGCAAAATCGCGCGACGGAAGATATCTTATGCTCTGTGTCAGAAAACAGCCTACCTAATAAATTGCAGGAGACATGCAGATATCTCGACATTCAATTGCAGCCTGCCGCTTTTAATGCGCATGAAGTGATTACAAAGTTCTAAGACTGAGAGAATTGCTGTATCGCTCTCATGCGGACAACTAATTGATGTTTAAGGGAATGCTTCCCATTTCAAGATCTTGAAGCGAGCATCAGATATGATGAAACAAGCTCACCAATGACTCTAAGTGTTTTTTTTAATGGAGAAGACTGCTCTAGACAGCACAGTACTCTGTTTGGTATACGTGCTCCTCAATGTGTCATGGTTTGATTACGTCATCGTACCTTGCACAGCATTGATTGGGAGCCAACTGACAGCTGTTTTATTTGGAAATCGCGCTCACGAACGCCAGATATGAACTTCTTGACAATTATACTTTTCTTGGCTTTGATCACCGCATGGCTAATGGAATGATGGGATTTGTATGACGTTTTTATGACGTCATGAGCGCCAAGATTATTTTAAAATACTCTACCCGATACGCCTTTCTCCATTTTCGCATGCCGTTTATCTAAGGAACTAGAGAGTCCTAGGTCTTAAGAAGGGCAAAATTGTGAGCAACACCGAAAGGTCTTCAAGATGGCTACTTCAGTTCAAAACCCCATGGAAATGTGGAA